CTCGCTCAGTTACAGGTAATAGATTTTATCCTTCCTCAGGTACAGGTAATAGATTTTATCAAACTCGCATCACTCCAATGACACGACTGAATCTTACCTCAGGAAGATCCACCACTGTACTGACTTGATGGGCAGCAGCTGGATCCTCGTCCGACTCCTCGTCCTGATGACCCTTCTTACGTTTGTGCTTGCCTTTGCGTCCTTTCTTCCCTCTCTCCTTCTCTTTTTTGGACAAGTTCATGTATTGGTCTGAGGAAGACAAGCCTATTAAATAAGAGGATGGCTCATCAAATAAAGGGTTTCAATTCCAACCACTGTGCAACACATTGTCACAAACAACACACACACACACTTCTGTCATCAAACACAACAGACAGATACTACCTGTAGTAACATGTTGACTTTGATCTAGTAATATAGCAAGACTGCAAAGAAACAAATGATTAAAAGTGTACAGTTTGTGCGATCAGATGATATCATGGTCTTGTTTTATTTCTTACCTGATTTCAATGCAGTTCTGGGAACATACCTACACGATCTTTGACAGAAAGACGACCTACACATGTCGAACAGACAATTTACACCCACCAAGAAGACAACATACAAACGCTAGACAATTTCCACATCCATGCAGAAGTGGTTTACCTGGCACGTGGAGGGGAACGGATATGTCTATATGGGCTACGGGAATGTCGTCCACTTTGGTGAGGTCGTCACTCTTTCTCTGTAACACGCAACACAACAAACATGTACAATACGAATCTTCGTTTATCTATAATTCTCACTTTCTAGATGATTGTAATTTGGATCAGAATGTTAGTGATCATATGATGGAATTTTTAAACTAATAGAAAGGCTACTGATCAGTATGTTTCCTGTACTTTTTTACTTTTACCACAATATTAACCCAAGACTTGCTCAGATGGTTGATACATCATCATATGAAGTTGTATTCACACTGATATCACATTTCTTGATTCACTTTCTGTGTGAACAGAGAAGCTGTTTGCCAATCTAACCCATCAAAGTATCTTTCATTAATTTTTTTTTTTAAAAAATGTAAAAGAATTCTCACTATAGAGGATTTTTCATCTGCCTTGAGATAATGAGGGTTGTGCATCTGGTCAATCTTCCGCTGTGAACGTCGCTGAGGAAAATAGAAAAATCTGGTTAACATATAGGCAGTCTCAGTTTACACATTCAGTTTGAAAATTATCATCATCAGATTTGAGAAATGGAATCTCAAAATTATACTTTTACCTCAAAACTTTGATCAAGTACTGAACTTCATGGCCTAAACATGCAGTTTTTTTCCATTTTTTTATTTTTCATTCAAATATTTTTCAGGATTTTGACATACTGGTAGACATGAACACACGTTTTTCAGGATTTTGACATACTGGTAGACATGAACACACGTTTTTCAGGATTTTGACATAGACATGAAACCTCATCATTCTAACATTATCACTATATATATCATGTGCCCAAGATGAAATGAAAGGACTAACAGATGGACAACAACAGACAAGATGGACATGGAATTATTAACATACTGACTTGGCTTCTACTTTGCAGAAGTGGGTAAGATAACTTTGTTACAGCACTGGCCCCCATTAAACACTTCAGCTTGCATTGTTTAAAATCGAAATCATCAAATCCATACAAAATGTACCTTTTCCATTTCCTCTTCTGTCGGCTGATAGACAGACTTGGGTTCCTCTGTCTGGTAGAATGGTCTACAATGTAAAGAGACTCTACACATACACTTATTACCTAATCTACATTTGAAATCAAAACCCTTAATCTTAGTCAAATACATTATAATTGCTACATACTAAGAACACCAACCTATACTTGAAGGTCTGACAGTCAACAAGTTTAACAGTTTAGCGCAAAGATTTTTTTTTTTTTGTGGAATAAATTATATCAAATCAGTCATCATTAAGATGAGTTATATTTTTTGCCAAAAATAAACTGTAAAAGCAATGCATTAACTTATTATGAAGTGTTTCATTTTTCAAAACTTTCTATGTTAACAATGAGAGAGAAAAACTCTAAAACCAAAACCTAAACAATTCAAATGTTTTAAACCAAATACAGTATTTTGTTCCCCCAGAAACAAATTCACAATCTTTAAATTTGTATAATAGAGTAAAAATAAAACATCTGCAAATATATTTACAATAGACAAACTGCACATCAGTCTGACACCTACCTGTGCTCGTCACGGCCGAGGCTAAAGATGGACACTCCACCCACCTCATCATCGGAGCTGTCTGACGGAGGGTCATTTATCCATTTATCAAGGTCGAGTCTGAAAGGATAAAGACGACGTTACAAACAACAGGGTAACAAATCCAAAGATTACTATTGAACACTTACATTTTCATCCCAAGATCTTAAATTTAGACCAGATAATTTATGCTTGCACTTATATGATAAATGAAGTAATTCATATTAAAAAAAGAGGTTGACATATTACCACCTGTACAGTATAACCACACAGTAACTCACCCATCAGGAACGGGAACCTTGCGCTGGGCCTTGGGTGCCACAGGGTTGAGGTCACCAGCAAACAGAGCGGCCACCTCCTCCCCGACCTTGACTCCCTTGTCCATCAATTTGAGCACGTACTTTACCAGTTGTAGCACACAGCAGGCCTGCACAGAAAGGTACACAATGTCTAAGACAAAGGCTCCAATCAACACAGGGAACTGTTTTGTTTCATCAGAGGAGATTTATTGGAGATTGCATAGGTTCAATTTATCTATGTTATACAGGGTAAGAGGTAGTTCACGTTCTGGTGTTTACAGTTTGTCAGATTGTACAAGGGTTGGTTTAGACAGGCTGCAGTAGTAACTAGGTTATATAGGTTTCAATGTATTTTAATGTCTTTAATAGATACATTACAACATTGAAGAGGTCACCAGCTGGTTTATGAAATAATTGTTGACATTTGTATAATGTGCCCTAAGAAAATTGTTGGCAGTGAGGGAACAGAGCAAGGGAGTATAAATGTTTATTTCTGGAATTGCCAAGGAAAATGTAGGAAATAATCAACTTTACCAATCAGATTTGAAATCCAACTTTTCTGGACCCCTCTGTCAGAGATCTGTACCTACCCTTTCCTGGACCCCTCTGTCAGAGATCTGTACCTACCCTTTCCTGGACCCCTCTGTCAGAGATCTGTACCTACCCTTTCCTGGACCCCTCTGTCAGAGATCTGTACCTACCCTTTCCTGGACCCCTCTGTCAGAGATCTGTACCTACCCTTTCCTGGACCCCTCTGTCAGAGATCTGTACCTACCCTTTCCTGGACCCCTCTGTCAGAGATCTGTACCTACCCTTTCCTGGACCCCTCTGTCAGAGATCTGTACCTACCCTTTCCTGGACCCCTCTGTCAGAGATCTGTACCTACCCTTTCCTGGACCTCCAGGTCGGAGCTCTGTACAAACATGGGGAGTTTTTCCACCATGAGCTGCCCCATCTCCCGCATGAGGTCCTGGTTGTCGTCCTGCTCTGCCGCTAGTAAGACATTAGCGAACAACTTGATGATGTTTTGTACATACACACTCTGTATGTGGCCAGGCAGGGCGGTGATCTTGGGCTTCAGCATGGCTTCCAGAGTCACCCGCGGGTCCTTCAAGTGGCTGTAATAACACAAATAATGCTTAATAATACTGTTAATGCTGACATTTTAGTTAACCCTTTCACATCTAGGTCACTTGAGTTAATTTGAGGTTCTTATATACCGCTTTATCACAACCTAGTTTGTAGGTCGTCTCAAACCAGTTTACAAAGTATTATCCGTGGTTATTGGGCCTTTGCAATCAGCCACTATCTTTCTCAACTCCATGGGGAGCATACAGACAGTGCTACCATTTAGGCGCTCACAGCTAGCATTCAGCAATTCTAACACTGCCCAACAACGTACTCATTTACAGCTGAGTTGACTGGAACAAGTGGGTAAAGTATCTTGCTCAAAGATACAACACTGTGCCTTGACATGACTCAAACCCGCAACCCTTCAGTCATGAGCCCGGCGTCCTACCACTAGACTACTGTGCCTCCTATGTCTACAGTGGTGAAAGGGGAAGCTTGGAGGAGAATCTGACACCTCTGAGTTTGACACATCAAGCGATTATCACTTATAAATACAGACAATAGAGGCATTCAACACAGTGGAGTTCCACTAGAGATACTCTTGATGTACAGTGATCATATATCTGGTTCTAAACGTAGGCCAAACATACAACAGTATAATATTGAACTCGGTGTACTTACTCGGAGAACTCGCCACATATCCACCCTGCTGCATACAAAACCTCACAGATACCATTCCTTTGGGAATTGTTGGCCAATAAATGTGAATTCTCTAATAAAACAGCCTGGAAAACACAAAACACCACAACTTGAGTTCAGTCCTCTACTGTGACTATAGTTTACAAATGACAGCTGTAGGTTATTTGTTGGTTAAATTTTAGTCAAGATAATACAGCAACTGTATTTAAGAGAATATAACCCAAGACTTTTCACAGATCTTACATTTCAGTATGTGAATACTTATCTCTAAACCTTTTCTTCAGGTTGGTAAGTGTGGATTTTTCATAATGAATATTTATCATTTGTTAATAAATTTCTTACCATCTGTGACACTGCAAAAGGACGAATGGCCTGTACTCGTATGGCAACGTCCAACATCTGTGAGGCAATCAGCCGTCCATGACGGGTACCTTCCATGCGCGTCAGTTCAACCAGTACACTTACATACCTACACACGGCAAATATCACTCACATCAGTTATACAGACACAAAATTCATAAAGAGACACATGGGCCTTTTCCATTGATGCCTAGCAGAAGCTTGAACTTTAAGAGCTGCAAACAGACTCGACTGGAAATGTCTGCAAAACATTTCTAAAATGTCAATCATATCAGATCTTTTTTTTTTATTGTTATTCATTTAAGCATTAGGAAGATATGAATTCACTTTGTTGATTTGTCAAAATTTGAATAAGTGATAAGTACATAACATGAATATATTGTCAACCACTGCCTGCTTACAAGGTGCTCACATAAGCCATTTTGTGTGGTCAAGTCATTCCAAACAACATTTTGCATTTGAAACTTTTTTTTTTTTACTAAAATGCCTTATAATGAAATACAGATGCAGATATGATATGTCTTCTTCTGTCTACAACAGAGGAGTAAATAAGAAGCCAGCTGACTTCCGGCCTGATCTGGTAATTCATTCTTCACTATGACTTTCGAAGGCCTGTATCTTACCACTCGAAGTTGGTGATGTACTGGTAATTTGACTGGCTGGAGATCTCGATGATCTTGGCGAGCAGTTCATCACGGTAGTGTGTGCCCTCAGCTTTGTCCATGTGGATCATCAACTTCTTGGCTATCTCCATCAGATTCTTCTTGGACACCTAAAACATAACCAACATGTGTAGTACTGCATCATAATACAATTCTCATATGACAGATAAAACATACAAGATAGTTAGATGTTGTTTTTTTATATTTTAATTTTGTATAAAATCTGATATTCTAGGTTTTCATGAAGCAATACAAAGTTTGCCTCTAAAGAGGCTATTTTGCAGATTCATATAAACATCAGGTATACCGCTACACAAAGTGAGGAAGAAAGACTGCTTAAAGGGTCTTCTAGTTTTTCAATACGTCATAGAACATTTTCATATACTTACAAAGCACGCCATAACACAGAGTACCAAAGGGGATCCTCTGTACATGATTATTGTTTATTGACAAAGATAATTACATAGTTACTTCCCTTTATAGTCGAGGCATTTTAGAGTTACTCACCTTTGATGGAAACTCGCCATTTGTAATACAAATCGATTCATTTGAGGAAACACTTACATAAGCCTGTTTAAGGCATATTATTTACCACGTTAATATAACGTAGTAAATAATATGCCTTAAACAGGCTAATGTAAGTGTTTCTAAAATGACTCCAATTGTATTACAAATGGCGAGTTTCCATCAAAGGCGAGGAACTCTAAAATGCCTCGACTATAAAGGGAAGTAACTATGTAATTATCTTTGTCAATAAACAATAATCATGTACTCTGCACTGAATGATGAACCTGAGAAACACAATGGATTGTCAGGAGGACATGGGGACAAACGGCTCGATAAACTCACTGGTGCTTTAGACACTCACCATGCCGTACAGCAAGTCTAAGGCTCGCAGTCTGATCGACTCGTCTTTGTCGTCCAGACACTGCAACACTAGATCCTTGTGGGACTGAACACTCTTAGGGTGACTGGCCAAGATCCGGGACATCGCTAGTAAGCCAAGGTATTTCACTGGAACAGAACACACCTAAGTCAGAACTGGGGCAAATACTGAACACGAAATCCAAAAGTTAGCGTAGATCTATTGAACCGAGTTTTTTTTTTAGCACAACACAGAATGCTCAAGTCAGGCCTGGGACAAATACTGAACACGAAATCCAAAAGTTAGCATAAATCTATTAAACCAAGTTTTTTTTTTAGCATAACACAGAATGCTCAAGTCAGGCCTGGGACAAATACCAAACACAATGATGAACAAAAGTTATCAATATTAAAATACATGTAAGCATACATGTTCTATTTTTCATCTTATTTTGGCACCATTTGTACCAACTCAGAAAAGCTCAAATTAAAAGCAGTTCATATACATATACAAGAGGCCCAAGGGCCTTAGCGGTCACCTGAGTTATATCATAGGTACTGGTAGCTTTATTTTATTGTTTAGATGTGATGTGGAAATCAGCATGTAAACTAAGTGAAATACAATACTTGTCATGTCATCAATGGATTAGAATTTGAAAATATTGGTAAATGTTCCCTTTGGGGCCCCGCCCTAGCCCCTGGGGATGGGGCAGGAATCCCAATTTTACAAAGTAATACTCTCATTCACCAAAGATGATTCTGACTAAGTTTGAGTAATTTTCTGCTGAAAATGGATAAAATATATACCCAAAAGTGTTATTTCCCTATATAAACTATAGTAAACTTTACCCCCTCCCCAAGGGAGAACGGATAGCTCGGGGGTCCTGAAATTTACAATTTAAGTAAAGCCCCTGATGATCTTTCTTTCCACGTAGAGAAAATCACTGTAGTACCTCTGAGTCTGGAGAAGAAGATTTTTGAAATATTGATTAATTTTCCCTTTGGGGCCCCGCCCTGGCCCCAGGGGTCGGGGTAGGAATCTCAATTTTACAATTTGAAACCATCTACCTCCAAGGATAATTCTCACCAAGTAAAAATAATTTCCTACAGAAAGTTGTCAAAATATACCCAAAAGTGTTATTTCCCTATATAAACTATAGTAAACTTTACCCCCTCCCCAAGGGAGAACGGATAGCTCGGGGGTCCTGAAATTTACAATTTAAGTAAAGCCCCTGATGATCTTTCTTTCCACGTAGAGAAAATCACTGTAGTACCTCTGAGTCTGGAGAAGAAGATTTTTGAAATATTGATTAATTTTCCCTTTGGGGCCCCGCCCTGGCCCCAGGGGTCGGGGTAGGAATCCCAATTTTACAATTTTGAAGCCTCATCTACCAAGGATGATTCTGACCAAGTTTGAAAAAAATCCATCCACTGGTTCTTGAGAAGAAGTTGAAAATGTAAAAGTTTACGCACGACGCACGACGGACGACGACGGACGAAAAGCGATTAGAATAGGTCACTTGAGCAAAGCTCAGGTGACCTAAAAATAGGATATAATCACAATCAATGGAACTGCGTACATGTATCCACATTTACTACCTGCACACATTCCAATCAAATAATTAGTATCTATAACATGACCAATCTCAAATTGGGTGAAACAATAAAATTTAAGTGTGGTGCTGCAGAACTACAAGATAAATTGGTGATGTGTGAAAAAGTTACAATGAAATCAGTCAATCACTCCCTCTAACTTCATTTTAAGTGTCATATCGTTAGAACACAGCAGGGTTCACCAACATCCAATACTCCGTTTTTACAGACAGGATGAGATCATCTACTTTTCATTATGTGTACATAATAAATTTCTGAGTTAGATTTTTTTCAACAATTTAATATTTGTTTTAAAACAATGTACGTAAATTGTAGAATGTTTACGGGTAAATACAAAGTATGCAAATTATAGGATATTCTAATACAATGTTTGTAAGTTACAGGATATTCTAATACAATGTTTGTAAGTTACAGATTTTTAAAAATTTAATACACCACATGTTTGCTAACAAAACATTTTAATACTACAATGTATGTATATTATAAGACAAAATTTATTCATTTGATGTACAACACATACATTGGTAAAAGCTTCCTTTTGAGCTGTAATTGTGAATAGTATCGGACAACTGAGCGACAAAAAATGAAAAAAAACGACACACAAAACATGTTTACAATACATTTGTGCATACTCACAATTCTGGTCGGAGTCCTCAATCAAAATTCTAAGTTTCTGAACACAAAGCTGGAAAAAAAGCAGACCTTGATGAAGATAAACATGAATTACATCCTTTGTAACGACCACGAAGATGTTAGTACATGAAACACACCAGGAACATGCTTATCACAAATCACTGCTTATAACTTCACACAATCACTGCTCATAACTTCACACAATCACTGCTTATAACTTCACACAATCACTGCTTATAACTTCACACAATCACTGCCCATAAAATATCATGGGTGTCAAATGGCAAGAAATTGTGTCAATAACTCTACAAAAAAATACGCCTCTTGGTAGGATTAAATTTGACAAATCATCAGACTGGACCATTACACGATTCACAATGAAGGGGAAATAACCCATCTTTAAACCACGGACCAGGTAATGTTGTATAAAGCAAGTGATAGTGCTGTTTCATTTTGCAAATTTCTTAAAATTACGCATGTCCAACATGATTGTGTAATTCATATATATATATATAAAGCAACTAAATTGCAAATGTACCTAGTAACTGTCAGCATCTGAAGCACAGTGGAAGTGTTCACTTTAAGAGTGTTCACTTTTTTGCAATATTTTTGCAATATTTTTGGGAAAAGACAATATTTCTGATGACATGTTGTCTATGTCTGTAATATTTTATTTGTCCCCAAAAGCAATTCTCATTGACAAATCCTTATTTAAGTTTTTGAAATTACAAAATCATATATTATTATGTTTGTCTTAAAATGCTTTTAATATTATATACCCCACAGATGTAGCTGGAACCTGTTCTGTAGAAACTTGGGTGGGGCTGTACATAGCAAGCATGGTAAGGAATGCGTGTCCAGGAGAATGACTATGCAAATGAGCAAATTGTGTCAAGAATATCAAACTTTTACTGATTTGATCAAATTCGAAAATTTAACCTACTAGTTACTCATCTTAGGACAAGCAATTTAAATTGTTTTCTGACTGAACATGAACATTAGTTAAAGCAACATATATATATATATATATATATATAGTTTTGCCTGGATAAAAATATTATACTTGCTTTATATACTTCTAACAATTTTATAAGCCGATTATTTACACACAAGTATACTGTACGAATATCAACATCGTCTCAATTATTGTGTATCGTAACAGTATTCAAATCGGCATTTGCATTTGATGGCGGCTGTCCATTAGTATAGGCGGCTATGGAAGTGGGGTATATAAAGGAGTATGAGGAATCTATGGTGATGGTAGTAACACTATACGGCCAGTAGGACGTATTCTTCTTCGTCCACACTAACTCTGGTTACCAGACTGGAAGAGAGATGGCAAGGTTGTACACTCAGCATTTTAAACATACACCAATGTCTGATCATGGTTAGTGAGAATGTTCTTAACCTATATAACAGAGGTTCAGCAGGCTAGTGTCGACTTAGCTTCAGTGTCGACTTAGTTTCAGTGTCGACTTTGTTATAGTGTTGTATACCTGTACAACAGTAGTGAAGGGTCAGTGTCAACTTTGTTATAGTGTTGTATACCTGTATAACAGTAGTGAAGGGTCAGTGTCAATTTTGTTGTAGTGTTATATACCTGTACAACAGCTGTTAAGAGTCAGTGTCAACTTTGTTATAGTGTTGTATACCTGTACAACAGTAGTGAAGGGTCAGTGTCAACTTTGTTATAGTGTTGTATACCTGTATAACAGTAGTGAAGGGTCAGTGTCAATTTTGTTATAGTGTTGTATACCTGTATAACAGCTGTTAAGGGTCAGTGTCAACTTTGTTATAGTGTTGTATACCTGTACAACAGTAGTGAAGGGTCAGTGTCAACTTTGTAATAGTGTTGAATACCTGTACAGCAGTAGTGAAGGGTCAGTGTCAATTTTGTTATAGTGTTGTATACCTGTATAACAGTAGTGAAGGGTCAGTGTCAATTTTGTTATAGTGTTGTATACCTGTACAACAGTAGTGAAGGGTCAGTGTCAATTTTGTTGTAGTGTTGTATACCTGTACAACAG